GGGCGCGGCGGGCCTGGGCGCGGGGGCTGCCCTGCCGGGCTGCTGCGGCGCTCGGGCGGCCCCAGCTGGGTCCGCACCTGCCCGGGGCTCGTAGCCGGAGCGGGGCCCCTCGAGTTGCGGTTCCGCGGCTGCCGCTGAAGCCGCCGAGGGCTGGGCCCTGCCCTCCGGGCTGCCCTCGGCACCCGCTTGTAGCGCTGCCGGATCTCGGGGACCGCGGCCTTCAGTGGCTCCGTCCATAGGGCTGGGGCTGGCGGTTTGTTTTATCCTCACCTCAGACAGCATTGAGCACAGCGGTGCTGGGAGTGCTCGCTTTAAAACGGCCCTTTATTGCAATATTCGTGAGAGCAGCAGCACTTCTGATCCTTGCTCCTTTTCAGTTAATTTTGCATAGAGCAGGCTGGATAAACTCATTTGTTAAAAATCAGTTTAAAGCTATTCTTTAAATTTCTCCAACTGACTTTCTGGTAAGTGCTTGTCATAAAATCACTAGGGTTGGAAAAGCCCTCTAAGATCACAGAGTCTAACCAGTAACATTTACTGTGTTTACCGCTAGACGATGTCTCCAAGTGCCATATCCACAAACCATTTGAAGGCTTCCAGGGATGGTGTTTACAGCCTCTTCCAATATCTGATCACGATTTCAGTGGAGAAGTTTTTCCTAATATCCACTCTAATCTTCTGATGTAATTTGAGGCCATTTCTTAAGACATTACTTGAGAGAGGTGACCCCACCTGGTGATTGTAGAGAGCTGTAAGGTCCCCCCAGCCTCTTTTCCTTCAGACTAAGCAACTCCAGCTTTTTTTCCTCTGCATGATAAACTCTTCTGGTGTGGATCAATACATACAGTTATCACATTGCATTCGTTTGTAGTGCTCCTGCATACCCACCTCTGCAGAATTAAAATATTTCTTCTTGAGCTTACCTTTACCTCTGCTGGTGGCACTGCCCAGGGGCTATGCTGTCCATGACAGCAGGGAAACCAAATGTCTGGAAAGTAACCTAGCAAAATATGATTTTTTTTTTTTTCTCTTCAAGATAACCCTCTTTCCTGACCTGGCTGATGGTATGGTCTCTGTAACTGTTGTGATGGCCCAGGGCTTGGCATGAGTGGCCAGCTGGGATGGTAAGAGCTGTTTGAGCTAGCAGTACAGTAAGCAAATGTGAGGGGTGCCTTTGGAACAATTATTCCCACTACTTGCATGTTGCTCATACGAGCGATGTGAGTGTTTCAGGTTAGATATTTCCAGGTTGTTAATTTTTTCCTAAAGTGTAAGTTTGTATTAAAGTATGAACTTGGGTGACACAATTTAGGGTGTTGTAAGATAAGGAGAGTTCAGCCTGCAGTTATTGTAGTAAATCCTAGTGCAAGGGCAGATGTGTTCCAAATGTTTTTACTATGGCAGATGGCCAAAAGGAAATAATAAGTTGATAAAGGGGTTGAATTCAAATTCCTTGTGACTTGTCAGTTGCAACAGTCAAAGTTAAGGCAGTGGCTTATTGATATGTCAGGGTTGATTCCAAAAGGCCATGTTGCTCAGCAGCAATTCAGTGGATCTGCCAGTAACTAATTCTTTGCTTTGTACACAGTTATGTAGTGAGAAATAAATTTCTGATGCTTGAAGAACTCTTGGCTATGAAACACAAGTGGGGAAGAGCAAGAATAATGGTGTGCACTAGCAAACCACTCTAGCTTACTCAGCTCTATGAAGAGAGTTTAGGGCTTTTAGGTGATTTATTGCAGTAGTAGGAAGATGGTTGCAGCTGTGATGGTGTAAGGATTTAAGTGAAAGAAGATTTACAAAGGCAGGATAATATACCAGTTGGTGTAATAGAAGATGTACTTGCAAAACCGAGCAAAATGTTGTATACACCAGGTGGTCTGCAGGCTTGACATTCATATCTCTACAGGCTGTAACAACAGTGTCCTGGATGTTTCAACCTGCTGCATCACAAATCTTAGTGGGGTGGTAGAAGTTTAGTTGGCACTAACTTGGTGGAAAGCTTTAGGAAGGTCTTTATCTTAATGCACAGTGAGCAGAAAGGACTCTAGAGATTACTCACTGCTTCAGTTTTGTAGAAAGTACTTTGTGTATCTCTTTTGCTTAAATGAGACACTGAAGGTGTGTGTCTGTATACATACACAGCTGTGTGCAGAGATTAATCCTGAGAGATTCAGCCTTGCCTGACTAACTTGCAGTTAATTCTGAGTGCATTTGGCAGCAGTTCCCTGAGAAGAGCTATTCAGTGCTGCAGTCTGTGCTGTAGCTGCTGCTTCCAGAGATTCCTGGTTATTTTATGTTAATGTTAATTGCACTAACTTTTTCTCCAGTATATATGTAGGTTTTTTTCTTTGTCATTCTCAATAAAGTATAGTCACCCTATTTTATCAAACAGTTTCTGTGCTTGTCTTCCCTTGGACATTCCCACATTGAAAGCAAACAGGCATTTTTTGTTACAGTATAGTTTATAATCTATGAAAACCATCTTACAAACTTTTTTTTCATGTTTCTTCAATGGAAGCTTTTATGTGTCACTCTTGCAGTTCTCTTTATATATGTATTTTTTTATCTATTTGATTTATTCTGTATTTATGTTAAAATGGTGTCTATAAAATAAAGAAAAATATAGCATATGGACAGCATTGAAATACACTAAGCTTTACTTGTAACTAGGTGCTGTGACTTTGTGGAACAAACTGGCACAGATGGTGGCTTGCCAACTTCTGTTTCTTTTTCCTTGAATTTAGGCCTGAAAAGTCCTTGATAACCAGTGGAAGCCTCTCTGTAAACTTTTTGGACAATTGAGCATGTGAGGGACAAACACCCCTGGGCAAATATCCTATTTGTACTAGATGTAGGTATACTGATATATGGAGTTCAGGTGTCTGAACTTAACTCTAATAAAAAACCAGCATTATACTATTTTGATTTCCTGAAAAATTTCTCTGGGTGAGGTAAAGGTTGTCAATATTTTCAGTGTAGTTGGCACTGAAACTGGGAGATGATCTCAGGAACTGATGAGACTCTGAAAGATACTTAGTTTCTTGTTGTTAAATATGAAGTAGGTGTAGCAGCTGCCTGGTGATTCTTGGCTAGAAAATGGTACCTGTTCTCTTCTCTATACCTTTTTGTTTAAGTATGGTGAGAGATTAATCCACTGAAGAGTTATGCCTACTGTTGCATTATAAGAGAAAATGTGCAACTTGTAAGCTTTGTTTCAGCAGTTTACTTCCATAAGCACTTATTAAGGTGTACCCTGTTTCATTTTTTCTCCCAGCTGGTAATTTCTAAACTGTGACCTGACATATCCCTCTATGTTGGAAATAATACTTCCTATTACTTATTTTTTCAGTGTAGATAGACTTCGATGCAATTTGCTCTAGTGTTTTCTTTTAATGTGCTCACATCTGGACTTTTGAAGCTGATAAAATAGCTGATGAAATACAGCACACATCAACAGAATCCATCAATTTTTAAGCAAGCAAACAAGCATTGGATCCAAAAGATGTTGCTCTAAGAGTCAATGAACTCTAGTTTGGGCAGAACTGCATGACTCCTGCAATTAGGAATGCTGTGCTGAACATGCTGAACTTTGAGTCCCCAGAAGAGCCTACCAGGAATGGGTTTGGTCAAAGGTATGATGTCAGATTGTGAGCCCCTGATGTCACAGCAGGAGGAGACATTTGGGAGAGGGGTGTTTGAGCTTGATTGACAACCCAGTATGAACTTCAGAAGTTCTGGTATGTCAGGGCAGAGAGAGGCATTCTTACGAGTGTAGTGAAATTTTGGTAGTCACCTGGGGTCTCTTATTTACTCAGCAGGTTGTCTGTGTTTGTATAAATACACAGCAAACTGGGCTGCTAAGTCTGATTCTGCTTCTTCTGTGACAGGTGGCTTTTGACACAACCAGACATTTTTAGTGAAGAAACCATAAGACAGAGAAGCCTGGAAAGACTAAAGCTGCAAGAACAGGAACACATTCAAAATAGGGGGAAAAAAAAGAGAGGGGGTTGAAAGGTGAGAGTATATTTTTAGAGAATGTCCGATTTTCTGGAGATTTGTTACACTTCCTCATACCAAGTAAAACACAGGAAGAGTGGCTGTGTAAAAATCCAGGCTTTGAGGAAACAGGAGTTGGAGAAATTGAAACAATACTATGTAGTTGTTAATTTATATATTTGAAAGAAAACCATAATGATAATTCTGCATGTTAGGCATCGGATACAGGGGTCTGGATTATGAGAAAGGTTGGACTGGGGATATGCCAAGGTGCCTTTCAGATTGGATTATTCTCTGATTATGTGGGTCTACAGTGAAATCAGAGAGCTGTTGCTCTCAAATTCTTCTGAGGATTGATTCCTTAAGGTTCTGCATGTGGGCTTTTTGTATTGCTCTATGCTGCAACAAATTAATGCCCTTCCTTATGCCCTGAAATAAAATTAATGTGATGTACATTCCTAAGTGCTTCCCAATTGACTGGAATGTCCAAAGCTATGAAATGAATACTTTTCTGCCTTTACCTATTTTTGTGCGTTTTTTTATTGTTGAAATCTTTAGTGCAGTGTTCTTAAATTTGCATATGAGTAATAGTAGTAGTATATTGAAATTTTAAATTCTTTAGATAATGTGTTTGGGTGGCATCCTAAACTGTCACTGGTAATCAATCATGTTTATGCACCTTCTTGAGAAAAAACAGACACTTAGAATGCAGAGCACAGTGAATCCAATGCTAGGTCTCTAAAAGCACTGCTATGCTTCCATTGCTAATTCTTCCTTATTCAAATAGTTCTTAAAAACTATTTTTAAATACTCATTTGTGTGAACACTGTTCCTTGAATTTTCTGGAGGTTTTTGTGATGATGACTTTTCTGGAGGTTTTTATTTGGTAGAGCTACTTCCTACAGGGCAAACTTGTAACTAGGTAAAGTTACTTCCAAAAAGTGGTGATAGTCTGTTGTGGTTTAACCTCAGCTGGTTATTAAGTCCTACAACAGCTGGTCCCTCCCTCCCTGCCCCTTTCTCCAGTGGGATGAGAGGATAATCACAAAGGTAAAAGTAAGAAAACATGAGGATTGAGATCAAGACAGTTTCATAGGTAAAGCAAAGGCCACATACACAAGGAAAGCAAAACTAGGAATTCATTCCCCACTTCCCCAGGGCAAGTAGGTGTTTTGCATCCCCAGAACACCAAGGCTCCAACCCATATAACAGTGACTTGGGAAGACAAACATCATCATTCCAAGTGTCCTCCCTTCCTCCTTCTCCTCTGGCTTTATTGCTGAGCATGAGGCCATAGGTTCTGGGATATTCTTTGGGTCAGTTGGGATCAGCTGTCCTGTCTGTGTCTCCTCCCATTTCCTTGTTCACCCCCAGCCTCCTCACTGGTGGAGTGCATGAGGAGCAGAAAAGGCCTTGGCTCTGGGTAAGCCTTGCTCAGTGATAACCCCTGAATTACTCTTGTAATACTTCTTAAATGAGACCCTCATGCTAATCTGTAGGGGAGATTTGTTAATGTAAGAATTAGATACAAATGATTAGTCTCCAGTTGTGTCCTTGGGGATAAAAAATCATGTGATGCTGTTGTCTTGGCAGTACTTATAAAAAAACCCCAAAAATACAAACTGTTTGGAGAGACAGCTTTCTAACTGTGGGGATCAGTCGGGTGTGTGTAATTTATGTTTTTTTAAACATGTTATTTAAGCAAACGAAATTCCTTGTTAGCCACATGTGATTCTTGATGACTGTTTGGTTATTATTAGCACTTCAAAGACTTACATCCAATTCCCCAGGATGCAAAATGTAAAACAAGTGTCATCTAAATTGTCCCATATTGATAATTACCTAGAAAAAGACGTGGTGATGAAAAGAAGTTCAAGAGAGAAAAAGGAAAGCTAAGCGCGAGAGGAGAGAAGAGAGGCAGATAGATGGAGATGAGGAACATCCCCCAAAGCAGCAGAAGGTACCGGCTGAAGAACAGCAGTGGCCAGAGAATATGCCTGAATGGGAAGAAAGGAAATCCCTGCTAGCTCAGAGAAGAGTGGAGTCTGTCAGACTGCTTACAGTGCTGTTAAATCGTGTGAAAGTAAGACTATTTTAAAACATATTTTAAATTTTTAAGGGTATTTATTAGAGCTTGAATAATTCACTAGACATTTGATGTCTTGATGCTATTCAGAAGACGGCTTTGGGCTGACTGAACACTGAGAAGGCCTGAGGCCCATGTCTTGTGACAATCTGCTCTCAGTCTTGCCCTGAGAACAAACATAGTGCATTTTCACCCAGAAACTTTGCCTTTGGTGCTTTTTCAAGACCTTGTCTTTACTGAGTAAAAAATAGGGCTGGAAAGGCTGTATTAGCTCTATTAGACTTGATCCAGTGTTGCAAGCAAGGAATTTTGGAGTGGGGACATAAGTGATGCTTGTTTTGGTCTCAGGTCTACAAATGACTGAATTAAATTGGCACAGATTATATCAGCTGCCTTTCTAATAGCCTCTTCTTTTTTTCTTGGCCAGCACTCATTACCAGGCTTATTTCAGTTTGATTCAGATAATGTGTTGAGAAAGTCGGCAGAGAAGTACTAAAAATTTAACTGTTTTGCACACAGATTAATGTTTGCAGGTTCAGTTTAGTGCTTTGGGCAAAAAAGATTTCAAATGAAAACAGGGGTTTTAATTTCTAATATGGCTTTGTCTCCACTATTTGCAGAGAAAAATTTGCTTGCAGCTTTTAACAAGTGCATATTTTTCCCAATCCTTAATGTAAAAGATTTTTAAAGGACTTTAATTTACTGTGAGTTGAAGTTAGAGGATACCCTTGCCATTCTGCATGAATTTTAGGGCCCCATTACATCTGACATTAGCCTTCTTAATTATGAATGTGGTGTCTTAAATAAATTTCTATTTTCTTGGTTTCGCAGTTGGCAAGTCAAAAAGTGGATCCTTCACTGGGTATAAAGGACGATTCATTTTCTGAAACAGTATTTAAAGACATACAGCAGGAGCTGATTAACTCCCTTTATCGTACGCACAAAGAGCTGACACGTAAGGAGTTTAAGTGCCCGTTAACCCAAAAAGGTAGTAGTTTATGTTGTGAGGAAGGAGACGGGAGTAACTTCTATGCACCTACTTGTCACATAGTCAGGACAATTTTAAATGATCCCTCTCCAGCCCCGAGCTCTGATGGACTGCCTGGCAGAGATGTGTGCACCTCCTCCGCCAAAGGCTGTGGGCCTTTGCTGATCACGGTTACCCAGGACGGCAGGGTCATCGAACCTCTCCGTGGAAGGCACCACCCAGCACTGGATGTAGCTCATACACAGACATTGTCTGAGGAAGATGATTGCAAAAAGCAAAAGGTTTATGAGACTGATGAATTCATCCATTATTTACTAAACTACTATCAGACACCACACTACGCACGTGTTTGCTTAGAGCCAAAAACCACTGCGAACAATTCCCGGTGGAAGCGAGTGGTGTGTGATGATGGTAGTGGGTTTGACATCAGCTTGAGTAACAAACATGGTCAGCACTTCAGAGAAGTGAGTCCTGTACAAAACCTCCAAAAGAGAAATTGTAGTAGTGATAGTAATTATAGGCTGGTGATATCTCTTGGGGAACGTGAGTCAACAGACAAAGTGTTAGAAAGCAGGGTGCATGGGGGCAAGCTTGCAAAAAAGCTGCAAGTGCAGAGGAATGACTCACTCACTGTTGATAACTTACCACATGTTGGACTGAATCATTCTTTGGAGTGCACTACTGCTACTCACAATAAGGAATTCAAACAAGAAGATGGTAGAGATGAAGGCACTGTACCATATGGAAGTAGATCTGCTTGCAGATTAAAGGATTTATTGGAAGAGATCAGTGATTCTGAGTACTTTAGAGAGGCATGTGGTGGCTCAGTGAAGAGAGCAGAAAGAAGGTATGAAGAAATTTACAGCAGTTGTAATAAAGGGTGCTTGTCTGCAAGAGCCGGGGAAAGAAAATTACTGGTTTACCATAAAAATGTAGCTCTGGAAGGTCAAGAGGAGGAAATCAGCCAGTGTAACTCCTGTTCTAATTCTGTCCATGAGGGCTTGGCAAGGCAGTGTGAACGTAAACTTAAAAAGTCGTGCAAGAGGTCTAGTAGTAAATTAAGATATGAAGGAAAGAAAAGTGAGAGACAATCCAGGGAAAAGGAGAAAAATGCTCATAAAATGAAGAAAAAGCGAAAAAAGCTTTCTTCTAATCTTTTAACTGATGAATGTGGCTTTTCAGAGACGGACAGTTGCATGCAGCTGGAGTCGCTCAGAAAGATACAGAGAAAATGTAAGAAAATGTTACACAAGAAAGTGAAATTCAAGACACATCACACTTCTATGGCAGCACCAGATGTTACCCCTCATGATGGCTCGCCCCTTCAGGAGACCCTCCAGAGGAGAGGTGAGAGAGAGGGACAGCACAGCTAAGGGGAATGAATTTGACAGGTCTGTGGCTGGTGAGGTTGTCACAGTTGTTACAGTGATTAATGGTTTTTGGTTTTAAAAGGTATAAACATGGCATGAAAAAAAACAGTACAGGTTCTCTGCAACTAAGGGTTTGTTCAGTTTAGCTCTGAACCACAATGCGGCTCAAGAGTAGTATTTGTTGACTTAATTGGGTAGCACAGTATCTGTCCTGGGCATTTGGAGATGGGTGGTTACTCTGTTAACAACATGCATTGTAACAACATGACAACAAAAACATTGATGCACAATTCAATGTGTGGCACAGCTGTGTGGGAAGTACCGTCTCAGGTGAGTGTGGATATGACTTTCTGAGCCTGAGAGAGTTTTCAGCCTGTCAGTGGCTGATCTGTTCCCAAAGGAAAGTCTCCTGAGGACATGTTTCTCTCAAGGACTGTTTTTGTAAATAGGTTTTTGGTTCTCAAACAATGTTGTACAGATGTCCTGAGTGTTTTCTCTTGTTCCACCGATGGGACCAGAGGGGTGTTGTTCCCTTTACCAACCACGTTAACCTGTATCAGAACACCTTATAAAAGGGGCTTAGAGACCCCGAAATAAAGGCTTCTGCCTTCTTGAGACAAAAAAACCTCTGGCTGCTGTGATTAAATCTACATTCCTATTTCGTGTCCACTAGTGACAGGTGGGTAAATTTTACAAAGCTAAAATACATCTGATGTTCATACAGGATTGCTACTGGCTGTCCTTACAGCCATTTTTACATTTTACTGTGTTTCCAGTTGGTTGGTGGATACCCTTACAGCCACCTCCTTTTCCCTCCCTGTCTGCCTGACAAAAACTCATTTCAGGAAACTTCTTCTTATCTACAGGAGATGAGAGGAAATTAATGTTGAGAAGAGAGATGGATGCAGATGTCAGAGGATGTCCTCTATTTCCTCTTGAGATAATTCAGACAAACCCCTTCTCAGATACTTTCTGTGGAGGAGAGCCCAGAAGAGGATGCTGAACAGCTACTGTATGATAGCTCTGAAGTTTTTATAAAGTGGGAGAAGAAAGCCCGTTGATCATTAAAAGGTATATGAACTACTGGGTTGGTTTTTGATTTTTTTATTTTTGCTTAGGTAATTCCTTTGGTTAGGATATTTAACTGGTGTAGTGAGCCACAAAAGCAGAATCTGTGTTTGCCTTTTGGATAAAAGGACCAAAACTTTCCCCAGAGCCAGAAGAAAGTTTCATGGACTAGTGGCTAAAGAACTTGACACAGACTGAGATTTTGGAGTGTTATACTTTGACTGAATGCAGGGAATCATGTAAATCACAGTATTTACTAATAATGAGTCATTGGAAAAAAAACTAATTGTCAATCCTAGAGCAAGCATATGAAGTGCCTCCTCTATCAGATTGTTATAATGATGGGATTGGAAGGTACAGGGGGACATTTATACTCAGTTTTGAAAAGTAATAGATTTCCAAATGTGAAAAAAGTCCCATCTTCTGTAAAACTCACACTAGAAGAATCCTTGTTTTCTATTGACAATTCTAGAGGTGTTTCTGAAAACTTGCTGGCCTTTGGGAGGAAGGATTTCACTGAACTTATGCCCAATGTAGTGCTTCCAGGAATCTGAATGGTTGTTTAAACAAAGCTCTGAGTGTTAGATAATGAAAGGGCAGTGCATGTCAGCCTGCTGACAGTGCCCATGTAAATGCAGGTTGACAGTTCACAAGATTTTGAAGGCACATATAGTGAGGTAGCTGTTTAGTATGTGTTTGCTTACAAATGCTTTCCAGAGGAATTGTGAAATGTTGTCAGAGTTGTGCTTCATGTAGATAAAAATGTGAAAATGGAGTCTAGGAGCTCAAGGTATATCTATATTTATTCATCTGGCTATATCTAGAAGACAGTCACAATTGATTTTGGACGAAGTCCCTTAGCAAGATAGAGTTTGAAGTTCAAGACACTGATTATTGCAGCTTTCCTTTTATTATGCTTTACTTATTACATGTCAGTAGATGAAGTTAATGTGAAAATGTTGCCTTCATTACATAAGATCTTACCCATGTTTGTAACTTCTGCTCTAATAAATAGTAATAAAAAAGAGTAATTGTAGTTGTTCGTGGTAGATAGGTTTTTTCCCCCACGTCTTCAATACTGGTGATTCCTACAGGCTTCTAAGCCAGGTTTTATCAGTCTTTCTGTTCATATGTTGAGATGTTGAGTGCCTTTTCAGGGTCATGAATGACAAATAGTTGCTATTCAAAGTACTGTTAATCTTACTTTTATCTAAAAAGATGTTATTTTCTTGACAGAAATATTTTCTGACTATTTTGGAAAACATTTATGCCCTTCTTAAGTCTCCCATTTAATATTTTATACAGATATAATGAAGAGGGACTGTTGTATTCGACTGTGTAAAATGTTTTCAGTTGCACTGATGTGACATACCAAGGGTGTTTTTTCTCTATGCAAAATTTGCAGATTAAAGATAACAAAACTTCCACCTCTGTCACAGTTTTGTGTCCATGAGTACCCATTTCCTGTGAGACAGGCCTTTTGGTGACAGGTGAGGAAGTATTTCTTTTTGTTAATCTGGGGGAGAAGGAACTAAAGATTTCCTTCAGTGTAAATTTCCAGTGTTTTATCAACATGCTGTCACAATAACCAATAACAAATTTCTGTAATTGCTTCATGCATTCACCTGTATTGACTGAAACTGGTAGAGGATTTGCTTTATCTCCCAAGCCCTCATTCCATGTAAAACACTGTTAGCTAATAAAATATGCATGCACTTTAAAATGTGAGACATCATTGTAATCTTCACACTGAAAGAGAACCTCTGTGTTTTCTATTTGATATTACTTAGAACCTGATTTCAGGTGTTTTTTGACTTTTCACAAAATCATAGAATGGTTTGGATCAGTACCTTAAAAATCATCTTGTTCCGATCTCCATGCCAAGGGCATGGGCACCTTCCACCTGCACCAAGCAGTGTCCAACATGGTCTTGAACACTTCCAAGGACAGGTGTCCAGTTTCTTCTGGCAACCTCTGCCACAGCCTCACCATGCTCACAGGGAAGAATTTCTTTTTCCTGTCAGCACATTTAATATGAGCCCCACCTTTTCATACAATGGACTGCTTTATATAATTTTATTATTCTGAAGGCTAATCTTTAAAGAGACATGTAACAGCTTGCTTTAAAACTTTTAAAATGCATGGCTTTGTAAATCGGATGTTAGTTGTTATAAATGTTACATTCCACATAGGAAAGTTACTGAGTGTTTTGGCAATTAAAACATTTATTAGATTAAAAGATACATTAAAAGCAGTACTTATATAGTTCAGCAGTGGAAATGTAGAATATCTCTGGCATAATTTCACACCTTTCAGTTTGAACCTGATATGTTCTATTGTGCCCAGCTGCTGTTTCAAGAGGCTGGATGCTTTTTATGGAAACACTGTTTACTCTGACATGTATGAAGTTGGGACCTGAGACTGCAGATCTTGCCATCAAATTTAATTTTCTGTACAGAACTGGTGAAAATACCTCCTCCTAGAGCTGGTATGAAGAGAAGTTGGCTGAAAAATGCTTTGTTACTGAAAATATGTGACCTGTGGGGTTGTACCTTGTGCTGAATACTGAAGTCAAAATCCTACAGGCTGGTTTTAAAGCAGAAATACATAAGGCCCATTATTAAATCAGTCCATCTGCTTGAAATAAAATACAGCAATTATAATATAAAGCCCATTCTTAAACCAGGGATTCCAGGAAATGCATAGAAATGCTTTCATAAAACCCCTTACATAACTTTCAACAGAAGCATGCAATACGGAACTTTTTTTTGTTTAATTGAAACAGCAGAAAGTAAGAGTGAATAAAGGTGATTAAGGGCAGGTGAAAAATACCTGAATTTTACAAAGCAGGTCAAAGTATGAGTTTTCCTAGCTGGAAATAAGATATGACTCAATTGTTTTGTCCTAGAGTAGACCTTTGTGACAGGTGTTGGACACCTCAGCTAAGGGAGATTAGTGACATTCTCTGCATTTAATTGGTCATCATGTCCTACCTGGTTAATATACAGACTGATAAGCTGCCTGGCATTGTTCTTTTTGCATAGTCATTGGTGCCAGTCACTGTTGAAGGAAGGGTTCAAACTGTAATGAATAGACTAAAAAAGAAGCTAAAACCCCTCCATTTTCTTCTGTACTTTGGAAAGAAGTAAAACCCATGCCTGGTGCTTTATGAGCAGCTTTTGTGACACACTTCTCCTCTTTTCACAATAAATCCTCTGTTTTCCCTGAAAAAGTAAGTCTTACCGAAGTGTCATTCCTCCTCCCCAGGAAGTATTAACAATAAGCATTGTCTTGTGTTACTGCCTGTGTTCTGCATAATTTTTGTTACTATTTTTCTTTGTGATGCATAATGTTCTGATGTACAGATTAATACTTAAAATAGTGTTCAGTTCCTTGGGAGATGATACAGAGTAACTTAAGAGTCCACTGAAGGGTAGGTTACAGCCTTCCAAAGCTCCAGCTCTTGCTCAGTATTAACAATTACTTGGGGTTTTTTTCTGCCTAACACTGTTTTTGCAATGAGCATGTTCTCTATTTAATATTCTGTTAAAGTTTTACTAGTGAACTGCATTTACAATCATTCCATTAGAATGTATTTTACTGAATCTATGCATTGGATAATGTGACACATTGGAAAAAGACAATATAAAACTTGAAACATTAGGGGAGTATTAAATATAACATTTGGTTGCAGTAAATGAAAACACCGCCATTATGCAAGAGTATTTTATTTTCTGCCTTAAACAAATAAAAGTACATTTCCAATTTGAGGTAAACCATTAGTAGTAGTTTGCCAAGAGTATAAATGTCTCTAAAAATAAAATAGCAACACAAAGATCATGACAAGGTCTACATGTGGCTCTAGACCTTCGTTAGGTAGTCCATAGAGTACCACTTTACGCAAACTCTCTGGCTCAAACAACATTGCTCTTCATCAGAATGCCCAGTGCAACCAGAAGAAAATCCCAGGACAGTGTTGGGACTGAGGGAGAGTTGGTTATTCTCACCACAGTTGGTGTCAGGCACTTATGAAAACTGCTGTGCAGTTGAGAGTGCAACACTCCCGAACACTTTTACCTAGTTTACACCTTCCCACAGAGGACTCAGTTCATCATTTTGATCATGTTGCCAAATTGAAATAACCACACAGCTGAGCCAGAGAAATTAAATAGAGGGAACTACACCAGACAGGCACCCTGAATATTCTGCACTAGCAGAATCACCTGGACAAGAAACAAGTTCACAAGTGATCAGCAAATCATTAGTTATCTTGGAATTTATAAGAAAGTGTTACAGAAGTATTTTGGAAGATAAACAATTACGTTTTTCCTTGGTCATATCCATTTACCCAGCCCTCTCTGGAAGGAGGCAGGCCACTTAGAAAAAAATGTAATAATTAAGCATATAGTTAAGCCAAGAGAGCAAGTAGATAAAAAGCAACTCAAAGGTCAGGTCCACAGGTGTAGCACTGCTGGTTATGCATGAGATTGTGCCATTTTGTTTAATGGCAACATTCCAAACCAACGAAGGCCTCAATGCAGAAACAGCTTACACTGTTTTATTTTGCACATAACTTACGTAAGTTACATTGACCAGTAATGTTTTTCTGCTAGGTAAAGGTGCATGTACAAGAGCACTTGCTAATCATGCCATACCAGCAGCTTCTGGTTTTTTAGGCCTAGGAATCAAGAGCAGCTGATCTTCCATGTTTAATATAATTCCATTAACATTCACAGGAGCACTTTTTATTAAGAAAAAAATTGAATGAACAATAGTCAAGTCACACTCCATGGTGTACCTTTAGGGACACCTAGTTCCACTCATTATCTAAACTTTTGTAACACTATAGATGTGCTTTAAAAGTGAACAGAGAATATTAGTCTATGCAAAATTATACATGTTGAATACATCAAGCATTCATCAGTCTTTATTAAATATTTAAAAGTGATTTAACCTCTCAAAAATTCTTGATCTTTTTTAAAAGCAGTTAGTGTTTCATCTGTAAGTGGCTAATGCAACGCCTTGAAAACCAAATTATCTTATATAATAATGAATTATACTACACAACAAAGTATGATGCTTTGTGGACAAACAAAATACAGTCCTTTTTTTCTAAGGGAATTACAAGTCAGGGACCAGGTCCTGCAGAAGCTAACACAAAAGATTTAGTGGTGTTTGTGTTGCATATGTGAAGTTATTCATGTGCTTGTGTCCACAATGCTAGGTTGGTAATGAAAAACTTGATTTTGATCTACTTTGCACTAAATGGTGATAGCAGAAAAATAGTCCTTTATTGCCAAAATTGCAGTTTACTTTTGCACAGACATTTGTCATGCATACTTCTTTTTATGTGGGTTTAAAGGAAGACAGATCATAGATCTTCAGAACCTTCCCACTGAATTTGAAAAGGAAATCTTTGAAAAGAAACCATTCACTGTACCTCTGGACCTTTTGTAAGCCTTGCTGCTGCTGCACCTTTTGAAGCAGAAGTGGAATGTTACAAATGATCCTTTATGGTTCAAAAGGAGATTGTTCCTCACTGCAATATCTATTCTTTCTTTGCATCCTGGCCATCCTTTTCGTCTTCATCAGAGTACACAGTGGGTTCCTCCCCCTCCTTCAGCAGCTTACCAACATGATGATACTTAACTGGGGAAAAAAAAAAATCCAAGTAATTTTTTGGCCCTGAAGAGACACCTTTTTAAACTCCTCCAACTGTTTTCTGAATGAACAGGATGGCTATATTTTAATAAAACATCTCTGAACAACTTGTTCCAAACACTGAGGGAAAGGAGAAAAGCTAAAATCAACTACTACCTGAACTACTATTATTGTTCTAGTAAGAATCATGTGAATTGAATATAACTCTCATTTTATTACCTAAACCAAAAGATGAATAAACACAAACTAAGCCACACAGCCAAAGAAACAATCCTGGATTAGATTATTTGTTTTGCCAGTGTCAAAGCTGGTTTTTCAACCAAAGGCATTGTCAGACTATTAACATCTATTAAACACATTCATATGTGCACAAATACACACAACTTGGAAGGGGTTTTATTTTTTGTAATGTGTATAAAAATATTCTACAGGACAGAAGGGAGATCCTTTCTCCCAAAGACAAAGATGGATTTGTTATCCGATTATGTGATTAAGCTTCTGATTTATTTTATATCTCCTTTTGAGCATGTAAAAATGCCAAGATCATACACATGTAAGCACTGAGAGCTATACTATGTCACCTATCTGTCAACTTCAACAAAACAAAAAAGCCCCTGATTACAGGTATTTCAGACTAGTGATGTTGTTATAACAACTTAAAGCAACTATTCACCATATTTAATAGGAACACAGTAATAAAAAGAGTGGACATCACTGTCAGTCCTGATGCTCAACACTTATAAAGGTACATTTTAACACTAGTTCAAGCCAGATATTTGATAGCATAGTTCTGGTTTCTGCAACAAGCTTGTTAGCATAATAAAACAGCCATTCAGTGTGGCATGATTAACAGTCTTAATTAAAACAGGAAGAGGGCCAAAATAGTAGGGACACATCAGGTCAGGACTGAGATTTCTTATGACCTCATGCAGAGAAAACTCCATTGTAGCTGGTTATAGTAAATCTTTTAACACTAGATTTTATTATCGTATAACACTAGATAATTATTTTCACTATAGTAGTTATCAGCATATGCAATTTCCATCATTTATATATATGATGCTGCCAGCTGGTTAAAGCCTTTTCACTATTGCTTCCCCTATTACCAGGTAACTGCTTCTTTGTAAATAGGATTAAAATTGCTTACAAGTGAATTGTGACTCCCAGTCCCTCAAGGTCTCTTGCTGTGTAGCGTTGAGATCAGAGAGGTCATCATACTTATCCCTCAGTGCCTCCTTATCCAGGCAGAAAGTGGCAAGACCCCGGGATGCATCTCTTCCAGCAAAAATCCCATACGGGCCCTCTTTAAAATAGAAACATAAGCAACATTATTGCAGAGGTAATGGATGCTACTTTGTCTTCGTGGATCAGAGTCCCCAGACTAAAACAGATGACGAGTTCCTACACTGAGCCATTCATATATCAGGTGCCTCAAGCTTCTGAAATGCTTTAAAGTTTTATTCTAATCGGTAATAAGAGAAAAAAGCGGAAGAGGACAAGAAACAAAATCATGGAGAAAGATACTGAGGTTTGCTGAAACATCAGGACAATGAACCACGCAATGTTGCATGGCACATATAAACAGGGTAAGGGGAAGCATACAGATTGGGATGCACGTCCTTAGAATAAGGAACAAAGGAAGGATTTCTATGTCTGGGGTGAAATGAAAGTTTTCTAAAAGATACTCCTGGACTTGAGATGAAAGGATGGCTTGACAGAAAATATAGTGCTACTTGATATTATCAAGTTGGAGGAAACATCTATTAAAACAAAATGCAAGATGAACTCAAATGATCAAAACATGCAACTCACAGATCAGAGACATCAAGATAAACTCTTGCTAAACTTCATTAATGATTAATTCGCTTGCATGACAAGCCAAAAATTGAGATACTGCAGGTTCAACTAGACATTCAAAGTTCTTCTAAAAGGAGCTTAAAGAAGTAAGATGTGAAACCTGGTTATTGTAGAGCACATGCCAACTTCCAGAGTGTGCTTTTTCCTAAATTAACCGAAAGAATCTTACTTTTCCATCAAACTAGCCAGACATTATGGCGAACCATTCAGCAATTACCAAATCAGATGCAACAGGCAGCTTTTACTGTCATCAAGGAACGTTGAGCATCTAAAGCTTGGACCTTACATCAAGTGGGTTTTAGTTTGCACAAATACAAAGCTGCACATCTGACTCAACTGTACATATTATCCTGACTACTGCAGAATGCAAAGTTACAGCCTGTCATCATTCAGAGACAGTCTTGTCTATGTTTGGCCCAGAAGTAATAACTGATAACGTTTCCAAAACCGTGGTGTCTTCTGCATTTTTCTCCCTGTCTCTAAGTAGCACTGGCAACTCTCCACTGCAGCTACCAGGCTGTCTGGACAGCTCAAGAGTGGTTATGCCAGGCAGATCCTGGAACAAATCAGCAAGCCTCTGTGAGCCGTTTTAATAGGCAGCCTCTGATAAAAATAAAACCCCATGCCCTCGTGGAGATGATAAAACTCTTTCGCCTGGGTGCACATAGTCCCACCCACCTCATCACTCTTCGAGCATATGTTATTAAATCTTTGTACGTTTGAACTATGCTCCTGGTGGAAAGCTGGTTTCATCTAAATTGCTAAGTATTTAGTATAAATATTATGGAATAGAGTGATACCCACTAAAAGCTGGGAATGGAATGGCAACACTGAGAGAACACTTCGCTTCTGCTGCCTGCTATCAGGCAAGGGCAGCCCAGGCTGACAAAGCCGCCCAACCTCGTATGGTACGCGTAGCCTGCCACGGGAAAATACTGAGAATAATGAAACAACGTAAACCGGCAAAGCCGGAGTTTCTACAACACGGGAGCCCGACTCTGGATCCCGGGCGGCAGCAGTCACCCTGCCACCGGCACACCGGCACGCAGCCCTCCCGGCTGCAAGCGAGCCGAGCCCTGTCCAGCCCTCCGCTCGGGGACCAGGGCCGGGATGGGGTCAGACAGGAGCGCCGATCCCCGCCGAGAGAAGGCGCTCCCGGCCAGCACCGGCCCCGACGCGTCCTGCGCTCCCCCCGGGCGGTGGCCCCGGGCACAAGGCGCGGAGTGCCCGGGCTGGGCCCGTCTGGCAGCCCCCGCCCGCCCCCGCCCTCACCGGGCCCGTAGAACTTCCTAGCGCGGGTCACGTCGAAGA